AGATTTGGGTTTTTGTTATAATTTTCTTGGTTTAATTTTTCTTGGCATATCAAATGAATTTCCTTGATTGGAATGATTTAGAATAAATTATTATTGAATTTTTTTGGTTTTAGAAGTGTTTTTTGTGGATTTAATGCTCAAAGAACACGAGCAATGTTGAGGTTTGGGATGATGGAGATAGGAAGGGTAAGATCTGAAAATTTGTTATGAAACCAAGGGTAAATATGTGATTTTGTCCATTAAATAAGCTTTTAATTTAACATCGTGGCATGCTTGGTGTACAAATTTGTTGATGTGTGCAGTGACGTGGCATATTCAGGCAGAGGGTAACGGGTCACGCGAGGCACGTGCTCTTTTTCCGTTAATTTGGTCATAAATTCTTAAAGCCGTGCATTTTAAGGGGTTATAAAGTTATAGTATGAGGAAATTTAAGGTCAAACTTAGGAAGTTAAGGGGTCGAATTCTGATTTTTGCCTCTCGTTGGGCCGCTGCTTTCATATTTTTTTTTCTTGTTTCTCGAACGTTGCTCTTGGGAGGAGGGTATGAATCTTACAAGAATTATAAAAGTCACTTGACCCAAGTCACTTGACCCACAAAGGTCAGGTTCTTTTTTTTCTTTTTCTTTTTTTTTTTTTTTCCCTCGTTTCTTGCTGCTTCTTCTTTCCTGGAAACCAATACCCCCGAAACCATATTAGCCTTTTCTTGTAGGGCCACTGCTGTCATTTTTTCTTGTTTCTTTGTGCCTCTGCTTTCCCGGAAACCAATATTAGCCTTTTCTTGTAGGGCCATGGCATGTGAATTTTTCCATGATATTTCCCTTCTGCGTAGCTAATCCGACATTTCTTTCTTTCCAATCAAGTGTGGTCCATTTTCAAAATAAAAAAATCAAGAGTAGTCTGTCCCACTTCTTTTTTTATTTTTTATTTTTATGAATACGTGTCGAGATTAGTGTCAATGTTGTGAGAATTGAGAACCTTACTATGATTTTTCCAAAGAGAAAAATGAGTTAAAAATATGAATCTTTCTAATCTTAGCCCACACATGTCAAGGCGCATGGGACAACGGACAAACGTTGATATTAATTTTAATATTTGTGTTATGTGCATTATTAATTTTAATTAATTAATTGATAACATTAAAATTAATTTTTTTTTATTTATATATATATAGAACTTAATGACTAAAAAATAAAAATATTACAGTACTCAAGATATAAGTTTGAAAAACCAAAAAAATATAACTCTAACCGCAAAAGAGATGTGCAGATGGATTTGCCACTGCCGTCTGTCAGAATCATACCGTCCCACTCTGTGTATGTTTTTGGACCACTTCCTGAATTACATGGATGTTGCTGTGCTATTTCCTTTTGTCATTTTGTTTTTCTTTCTGAAGGAGAGCCTCTCTTTTCTTTTTTCTTTTTTTTTTCCTTTGGGAGGCTTTTCTTTTGCTAATTACTTAATTTGGAAGAAATATCAACGATGGTTGCGTTCCCACAACATCTTCTTTTCCTTTTAACTACAATTTCTTAGCAAGTGATACAAAGTTTCCTCGGTTGAATCTCTTAATTTTGAAAAGAAGGTCGTCAGCATTTAACTATTCCTCTAGTCGCATTCAAATGGACTCACGATCACTACGGTTGAAGATGCGAAAAGAAACATTCAACATAAACCTAGAACTAATAATGGAGTATACGGTCTTCGGCAATGCTATAAATAAGTTTATACAACACTCATCTAATATAAAAGGAGGGCTGATTATATTCAGTTATACATAAGTCTTATACATCAAATTTATATAATTTTAACCATTCGTTTGTTTATTTTTAATGATTAAAATTTATTTATATTTATTAGAAAATAAATAACCAAGATTGTATGTAAGTGTAATGTGTAAAAATTATGTGTGAATATATCTTTTCTCATATTTGAATGTTGCTTGTTATCCATAGAGAGTGAAACAAGCACTAATTGGATTAAATTTACATAATATTAAATGTTCTGTAATTCATATTTAAAGTCTTTTATTTTAAGAAGAAATTATTATTAAACTATGTTTTTTTTTTCTTTTATCAACACCTAATATTTAAAACCAATATTGAGTTCTTACTAATTTAGAATCTGATCCCCTATTAGCAGTAGACAAGGTCAATCACAATGCAACTTGGCATGATCCACATAGAAGCTTAATAACTAAATGCCGTGAAACTTACAGAGAAATTGGCATGATGAGATTCGTCATACGTTATGTGAAGCTAACTATTGTGTGACTGTTATGACTTCAAAAATTTACCACTTAGACAAAGTTAGCGTTTCTTTAATGATCCACCATTAGAAGTGGATTAAAGAATAGTAAAAGATCTTATAGGTATTTGTAGGTCCAAAACCTTTCGCTGTATTACGGTATGATTGTGTTACCGACTATTAAAAAAAGAAAATTATAAATAAGGAGTTTAGAGTCTTTAATTATACGGAAAGAGGTGGCTTTGGAACTGAAATTGGTACAGCAATTTTTGCGAGAATTTCAACCGAATTTATTTAGCTGAAAATACCATTTAGGGCCTGTTTGATGCAGATTGTGGGAAGAGCTTTTTGGCTTTAAAAGCACAAGCTGCACTAAACGGGTCAGCTTCCTAAAGGAGCTGCAGCTTTTGAGAAGCTCAGCTACTCACCTTTCCTTTGCAAAGCCCGGAAACTCTCATTTCTTACTTCGGCGGGAGCTTCTCGCCCCATGTTTAATGAAATTGACATAATCTTCCCATTTTATCCTCACACTTCCTTTTATTTACGAAAAAACTATTATATAAAGCACCAATTTATAACTTCACACCGACCAGCCTAGATTTCTTCTTCCTCATCCAATCAGACAATCAGAGAAACAAATCCAAAATACTCATCCAAACAGAGAAACAAACCAAAAATATCCAATCAAAGAAACAAACCGAAAATACTTACCGTATTCTTCCTCATTTTCTTTCTTCGTAAACCGAAAATCCCCTCATCTTCCGTTCGGAGACGAACCCAGGAGCTGGGTTCGCGGCCAACCCCGCGCTTAGGTTTCGAGACGAACCCAGCGCCTGGGTTTCGAGACGAACCCAACGCCTGGGTTCCGAGACGAACCCGCACGGGTTCGTCGCAAACCCCTCCCCTGGGTTCCGAGACAAACCCAAGCGCGGGGTTCATCGCGGAACCCAGGCGCGGGGTTCATCGCGGAACCTAGGCGCGGGGTTCGTCACGGAACCCAAGTGCTGGGTTCCGCAACGAACCTGGGTTCGCGCGAACCCAAAGGTGAAAAAAAAAAG